GCAATTCCACATCATAGCACTGTCCAGTGCCCGTGTCACTGCCCTGCACCAGCAATCCCACATCATAGCACAGCCCAGTGCCCGTGTCACTGCCCTGCACCAGCAATCCCACATCATAGCACAGCCCGGTGCCCGTGTCACTGCCCTGCACCAGCAATCCCACATCACAGCACAGCCCGGTACCCGTGTCACTGCCCTGCCTCACCCCATGTCACACCACACACTAGCCCACTGTTGCAACTGGGCTGCTTTCTGTGCGAAGCTGTAGAGTATCACAGGCACAGGCCTTATTTAAATATGCACCCTTCTCTTCTCATAGAGGGAGACTACCACTGCATGAATATGTCCCTGCTTTCCTACCAGCCCTTTCTTTCTCCAGAAGTGAGGACTGTAAACTCTGCCTATAGGTAACCACCATGTTCCTCACTGAGGGAGATTTGGGACAGGTTTGAATTTGTGCCAGTTGGAAGAAGGGAGATTTTTGGGGTGAGTTTTCAAAAAAGCATCTATGTTCACTCGCAAGTGTGCACCCTTATTTGCACATGCAAATCAGGTAATTGTGTGCATAAATGGCTAGTTGGTTGTGTACCTATTTGCATGTTTGATTACCTGACTTGCACATTCAGTCATTGTAAAGGCACATGCATTGCAGTTTTAGATTTCAGCCCTTCTTGTATAAAAAATTGGCCCTAAATGTCACAGTGAAACACACACAGTGAAACCATCTGGCCCCAGCGCAAAATGGCTTTTTAGCATCTGTAAGTTTTTAATTACTATTGTGCAGCACCTATGTACTTATAGATTCTGTATAGGACAATAAACACATTAAATAAAACTAGAACCCATCCACCTCGGCAGAATGAGGGCAAATGTGGAGCAGGTGTGTCTTCTCAGAGATCTTGTGATTTTACCTTAGGTCTTCCAATATTAGGTGTTTTTCTTAACGCTCCAGTTGCTGGATTCAAAAGTCTCCCCAAGAATCTCAGCTTTCATTTTTTATATAAAGTATAGTAAGTTTCTAGCCCTCATGGCTGCAGGCAAATATTTGAAAATTTGAACTTTGTGTATCCTAAAGGTTCAAACAGCAGAAGGCAAATAACTCATCTACATTTTAAAAATCTCATGATTTTGGGGGAAGGGGTGTGACTCGTGATTTTTCAATGCTTAGGGTTGGCAATACTGTAAGATATCACAAATGCGTAGAGGGTTGACCATTGATATACAATAAACTTATCACTATTTTGATACAAGTATGCTGTTGATACCAATAACACCTAAGGTTACTGTAATAGAAAGAAATAATAAAATATTTCTGTTCTCTTTTTAACTTGGGAACCTTGGCACATTTGTATACAGTGAGTTCCACTGTTTTGTTGATGGTCAGTTGCACTTCCTGCCTCAGACCCTAGCAGGATGACATCACTCTCATGTACTGCTCTGGGGAGATCTTCACTCTTCCTTCCCTGTATGCACACTCTGTCCCGGATTCTGTAAAATGGTATTTATTTACTAGTAAGAGCAGTAGCCAAAAGTGAAACTGAAGAGATCTCAGGCAGGTGTATATACAGAGCATATCTTGATTTTTTTTCTTCTTTTTTTTTTACTTATTTTATTTC